GGAGAAGAGAAGGCTCCGGGGTGGTCTTATCACAGCCTTCCAGTACCTAAAGGTGGCCTACAGGAAAGCTGGAGAGGGGCTTTGGACAAGGGCAATGGATTTAAACTGAAAGAGGGGAGATTTAGATTGGATATAAGGAAGAAATTTTTCACTCAGAGGGTGCTGAGGCACTGGCACAGGTTGCCCAGAGAAGCTGTGGCTGCCCCATCCCTGGAAGTGTTCAAGGCCAGGTTGGATGAGGCTTTGGGCAACCTGGGGTAGTGGAGGGGGTCCCTGCCCATGGCAGGGGGGTTGGAACTAGATGATCTTTGAGGTCCCTTCCAACCCAAACCATTCCATGATTCTATGATTCTATCTTTTCCACACATTACCCCAGGAGACCCAGTTCAGGCGTACCACAGCTCAGCACCGCGGCACCAGGCTCCAAACACAGGAGGAGAAACCACCTCCTAGTGCACCGTAAGGGCTCACTGCTGCATCACAGCCCCCTGCTCTCAGCAGCACAACTCCGAGACACCACCAAGAAGGCCACACCTACCCTCCCATCTCCGACTGAGGGGTAGTTTTGGTGATGACGATGGTCTTCCCCAGCTTCGATTCCAGGTCCACCTTGTAGTCTCGGTGCCGCAGGAGTTCCCTTTTGACGGGCTGAGCTGGTTTGCCTAAAGCATATGCAAAAAACCAAACTGGTTATCAGAAAAGGTCAAGCTTAACATGCTGGATTTCACATTGCCCTTGATGAAGAAAAGGGGCCTGCTGGGAACTACTTGAGTCATGCAGAAATTCTGCTTCTTTTTTTTAAATCAGTGAAGAATATAATTTCCTCCTCACTATTTACTGGTTCCTATTAGAACCACGTAGATCTGTGAGGTATCTCCAGCTGTGATTTGGTCATACTCTGAGATCTCCTTGTTTCCAGGGGCTGACTGTTCCTCTGCCTCCCCAAAGAACAGGCAGAGGCGAAGGTTCTCAGTAATCACTTTTGCCCAAAAAATACATTCAGTGGCAAGCACAGGAGAAAGGATGGGAGCACGGCAGCCTTGAATTGCTGCTGTTTCCCTCTGGGGTTTCACTTCTAGCCACTGTCTCCCTCTCCAACTCCAAGGGTTTGGCTGACTCACTGCCAGATGAGCAAAGCTTGCCTGGAGTCAGAACACTACCCACCATCTTTCTTCTCTCTCTCTTCTGTGAGCCGCTTCTCCGCAAGTTTCTCGTATTCGTCTTTGTCCCACTTTCGGCGGAAGTCCAAGTTCTTAGTCTGGGAAGGAAGAAAAGTGTGTGAACGTTTATTGTAAAGTTGGACCAGCTCTGAGGGGAGGATGGGGAAAGAGGTGGAATTGCTTGGCTTGTGCAGCTGCACCAGTAAATCAGGGGCATCGTGTCATGTTGTGTCATGTTGTGAGTCCAGCGCAGGGCCACGACGATGATGAAGGGAGTGGAGCATCTCCCTTCTGAGGAAAGGCTGAGGGAGCTGGGTCTCTTTAGCTTGGAGGAGACTGGGGGAGACCTCATTAATATTTATAAATATGTAAAGGGTGACTGTCCTGAGGATAGAGCCAGGCTCTTCTCAGTGCCATCCAACGATAGGACAAGGGGAAATGGATCTAAGCTGGAACATAGGAGGTTCTGCTTAAACATGAGGAAGAACTTCTTCCCAGTAAGGGGAACAGAACACTGGAACAGGCTGCCCAGAGAGGTTGTGGAGTCTCCTTCTCTGGGGATGTTCCAAACCCGCCTGGATGCGTTCGTGTGTGATCTGATCTAGGTGGTCCTGCTCCAGCAGAGCGATTGGACTAGATGATCCTTTAAGGTCCCTTCCAATCCCTGACATTCTGGGATTCTGTGATCCCCACGCCCGCTGTTCTCGTATCCGGGAATTAAGGATGCAGCTGAAGAGAACAAGGCTGAGCATGCCTCTACCTACTTCTTCAAGAAGGGTTTCAAAGCACTGGGAAAAGTAATGAGTTTATCTTAATGGCTCCTGGTGATCTGAGACGATTGCCCAGGCTTTTGCTTCGAGAAACAGGCACAGAGGGGAGTCAGACCCATCGAACTCAGAAATGCCACCTGGCAAACGCAGCATGGTCATCAGCAGGTGACACGAACTTCCAAAAGCCAGTTAAACCCAAGGTGCAAATACCAGATGAGGAAGCCGTGAAACACACCAGGACCTGGCGAAGAGTGTGATCCGAACGCAGGAGCACGGCAGGCTGCGCGTGCCTGCTCTCCGAAAGCCTACGCGCTGAGTTTGCCAGGGAATCGCAGGAACCAGTAGGAGTTCTTCCAAGTGACACACGTGTATGAACAAAACTCCACCTGTCAAGGCAGGGAGTGGTGGCAGCAGGAAAGCACCTGCATGGTAAGCTGTCCTGCAGCTTCCTGCTGCAGACACACAGGGAAGGGGGGAAACACCTTGGAGGCAGACTGGCCCCTCGGCCTCTCCCCGGAGCACTCTGCCCTGGCAGCAGGGCAGGATAAGTTGTGTGAACAGGTCTTCAGCTCTGGAATTCCCAACACAAGAAGGACATGGAGCTGTTGGCGGGTCCAGAGGAGGCCACAAAGATGATTCGAAGGCTGGAGCACCTCTCCTTTGAAGACAGGCTGAGAGAGTTGGGGCTGTTCAGGCTGGAGAAGAGAAGGCTCCAGGGTGATCTTATTGCAGCCTTCCAGTACCTGAAGGGGGCTACAGGAAAGCTGGAGAGGGGCTTTGGACAAGGGCGTGTAGTGACAGGACACGGGGCAATGGCTTTACACTGAAAAAGGGGAGATTTAGATTGGATCTAAGGAAGAAATTCTTCCCTCTGAGGCTGGTGAGGCACTGGCACAGGTTGCCCAGAGAAGTTGTGGCTGCCCCATCCCTGGCAGTGTTCAAGGCCAGGTTGGATGAGGCTTTGGGCAACCTGGTGTA